ACAAACTTGTTTCCAATCAACTTTCTCACTATGACACACGACAATGACGACGACGCGACGCCGTTCGATTTTCTCTTTTTCACTCTTTCATTAAACCAATACCACCACCAACACCGTCGCAAGCGAGGCTAGACGAGCAACACCTTTGCGTGAGTGCGTGCGTGCGTGCGTTCGTTCGTTCGTTCGTTCGGTCGGTCGGTCGTTCGTTGCTTCGTTCGGTCGTTCGGTTCGGTTTCTTCGTCTTAATTATTATTGTGCCGTATGCCATGTACACCCGCTGATCGATCCGTTAATCGCATCTTCAATCCGCAGTTTGCGATTCCACGCGCCATTATGTTTGTCATTTGTATTTATTATGTTGTATTTATTATTTTATTACATGTTTACATAATCTGACCGTTCTTTCGTTGTTCAGGTCTTCTGGAGCGATGGAGTGAGGAGCTTAGCCAAGCCGTGCTCATGCAGCAGCATTCCGTGTCCGTCAATCCGAACCCCGTCGCCACAGCAGATTCGACCAAACTGGCGCAGAAGTCTGCCAAAGTGATGGCTTCTGCCGCTCCTCAATATGAGTAAGTTATCGCCAGTGACCACTTGCTCTCTTGCGTGTGTTTTGTTGCTGTTTTGACTGGCCAAACGTTCGTTACCGCTGCCTTTCTCATTTTCATCTAGCAATCGACACTCATTTTCACTTACCTATGCTGTTTTTTTTTATTATAATCCGTCATTTCCATTTCTCGCCGGCTCGGCTGACTAACAATATACAAGTTAAATAATCACGTTATATTTGACCGTTCATCGTGACCATTAGTCATATCGGAAAATGAACCGAATTCATTTATTTTCTTTATCGATTGACCATGTTCATTTTATCAGCCTCTTGATGAATCTGATCTTGTGGAGCAATTTTTTTTGTGACCCTGCTTTGTTACTGTCTTTGATGCGGTCGTTTTCATCCATTCGCACGAATACTCATTGGACATTTGCTTAATTTCTTCACACAACTGGATCCGATTTGTACAGTCTTTGCCGGATCAGCATATGCTGTCTCTAATAAATTCCGGTTGTACACTTTTATTGGTTGTCAGTTATATAAATATTGAAAGGCAAACGTTCAATTTTCGCTTGGTCAGCCGTACGAGAAAACTTCTGAATTAGCCATTTCGTGTTAGCAGTTTGTAGTTGGCTAAGAATCGATGCGATTTGTAAAAAATGTTTTTATTTTTGTTTTGTTGCTTGATTTTTTTTTTATTATTTTGCTCTTTACGTTGGGGAAAAGAATCAGGTAGTAAGTGGACTAGGTGTTGGTACTCTGCGGCTTGGCGCAACAAAAATAATGTAAAGTTAGATATAGCCAGGCCATTGCACCGTACTGTTGCAGTTTTTTCGACAGTGATCAATCCGCTTCCCGTTTCTCGTCTCACTGCATTGCAGCAATTGAGTTTGATATCTTACTAAAGACAATTGATGCTGAATTTGAAAAATTTCCCTCTAAATAAATTTAGGTTAAGAATTTTAGATAAGTGAAATGAGAGAGATTTCTGTATCTGTTTTTGTATCTGTATATTTTTCTATGATTTCTAAGTCTGTTGAAGCGGTGGCAATACACCAAGCTTCTCTATAAATTTCTCTTAATCATCGAGTTTTACCTTTGATGCGCTTTTCACTTTGTGTCAGTGGCATCCTTAAACTTGTTTGAAATTCAAAAACTTCAGAATGTACTTATTTGAGGCGCAATGGAAAGAAATTCAGAAGCTGTGTACAACTCCAGAAAAATGCTGATATACTGAGAGACTTAAAAATGAATTTAAACATCAACTAACGGCTGGGTCGTAATCCAGAAAGCTATGATTTTTTTGCCAGTGGAAAGTTTGTAGCTTTCAGCAGGAAAACTAATACTACAAGTTAAATATCTCGTTTTAAAAATGTAGTCAGGTGTTGCGCAATCATTTCGACATTCTTTCCAGTGCCCCTAAAATCAGTTCTGAACTTTAACTTTCGATTTTTTTGTAAGATTTATGGATCGTAAATTGAACTTTGTCGCTCATAATTATTCACTTGCTATCTCCTGTATACTGTTGAGGCTGAATATAACTGCACAGTTGATATAAGATTTTGAAGGTTAAATGTATGATGATACTTAGGGTTGGTTCGGTTGGTTCTTGTTCCTCTCCTGTTCTAAAATAGCGGAAGTGGAAGGAAAAACAGAGTTCTTGTATGTGAAGCTAGTTTATAGTAGCATGCACAGTAGTGCTTTGTAATAGGTTTATTTGTTCATTTTCTCGGCTAGGCATTTTTCTTTCCTTTCGAAGACCATGTTAAGGTTTACCATCCTTATTGTCTTTTTCCAATCAAATGAACTCTGCTACCTGGATTCTGTATGGCGCAGTATCGTGTGTTCTGTCACTTGGGCAGTTTTGGTGCTTGTCTGTCTGATGCTCATTGACTGCTGCCCTTTCGTCCTGCTGCAGCAGTTCATCTTGCAAATTTCTCACCACCTGTGACACCCTGGCCTTTTGCTCATAAGGTCATAATAGGAAATAACGATGATATATGTCATTGGCACGTTTGATATGTTGTTAAGACTAGTCACACCGCGGTATATCCATTGGGATAAATCTCTAGGGCTAGTATACATTTTATGTACTTTATCTTAGATGATATTTGTTTTGTTGTTGGTGGTGGTTGTCTCCCAGATGATGCTTCAGCATAAGCGCAGGATCGGAAGACAGAAACTACTGCCGGTAACCGACGAAAACATCAGTTTTAGTAGGGAATTGAAGTAATGTGTCCAAACTGTCTTATCGTCCTATACAAAAAGTATTAGACGTTTTGTTATGTTTTCTGTATGACTGTCGGTATGTCATCAACTGACTTCCTGTCACAGCTTTAAAACAGTTTAATTGCAAAAACTTATATCAGCCAGGCTATGAACATAGTACTGATATTTCCCGTTTCTTATGTCCCGCTCTTTTGCATCTTCTTGAAGGTAAATCCGGTGCTGATTCGGTTATAACAGTCAGTTTATTCATTCATAGCAGCTCATGGAGAACATATCCGTGCCAACTAACAACCATCTGCCTTAGGCCTATGAGATGCCAGCCGAAACCTCTAAGCGGTGGCCTATTTATTACGATAGATTTTTTTGTATTGTGTATAATTAAACCGTTTTATGCTGTGTTGCGGTAAGAGTACCAATGTGCAAACAGCCTAATCCGCTACTGTATTGTACAACCTAATTGAACATCAGAATACCACTCATCCGTGCCCTGCTTAAATCCCCGCAGACAACTTGGAGCAAACGGGCGGTGCAGCTCACCGTGAAATCCGGTTTTGAACGAGTTCTGCGTTATTTTACAACCTAATTATATTATTACAGTACAATACACAAAATTATTCTCGGTATTTTCGGTTTATTAGCAAACTGCTAGTTTTCCGCCAGTATTATGAAGTTGCTACATTAGAGACTAGTTATTATATTCTCAAGTGCTATGAAACCAGAGATGGAGTAATAGGTATAGTCCATCTTGCACGTAGTGTCCACAAAGAGCCAATTACTAATCCGTGGTATGCAATGTATCTGTTTTAAATAGTATGCACAGTAGAATTTTGTGCGTGCCAAAGAAAATACGGCATGACTCATTCCTAGCTCAAGATAGTACGTTGTGTTGCTGGTGTCAACGCTGTGACATCGTTTTTGATTATTAATGAAGTTTGTCACTGACTTAATTTCATATAACATGTTCAAGGCTTTCTGAATCAAACGGAAACTCTATTTTTAGAGAAGCTGCGGAGACCTCTTTCGTTGTCAGTTCTTGCGTGACCAGCTTCTTTCTTGAATTAGGCCCGATTTAGCATTAAGGCGAATATTAGGTTAGTTCTCTGTCCGCAGACGTGTCACACTGATTTTCTATGGCAAAATTTTTTTTATACGCTGAAGCAGACTGTGCCAGTCATTCGGACTGTGCCAATTTTCTCATATTATTTCCTTTCAAATCAATCCAGATTGAGGAGTCACAGTTGCGATGGTTTGTACGCGTATTGTGAATGTTTCCAGAAAGGAACTCGAAACAATTACTGCTTGCCCGATCGACTGGCCAAAGGGCCCGGAAAAGACCAGGTATGACCTGGTTCAAGCGTC